CAGCCACTATAGTCTTAGAACACAAATTAGGAAGAGTTACGAGTTGGGAATGACTCCCAGCTCCTACAAACCCCAAGAGCTAAGGTATAGTGATGTGGAACAGTGCCACACTATCCCCAACCACGAAGTGTCTCGAAACTACCCTCCACAAGCGCCTAATGTAACCTTTCTCACTATCTTGAGGTGTAACCTTTTTTCGCGGGCTTCGAGATGACTCAAATCTTGAAACCAAGGCTCAAGTTTTTCACCATAAACTCATCCTTGAGTTCTTGAAGGGTCTGCTGCACGCAGCCACGACACGCCGAACGTTTGCCACATGACAAGATAGAATCCGCGTACGAGACACTCGACAATATAGAAACCGCGCGCGAGATACAAATGACTGCGTAGCACGCGACTAGCGAGCTCGCTATTAACTTGACACACACATTCAACATTATGACCCATCATTCACACACTAGTATAAGCATGAAATACATATTCTTTCATGCCTTCATCCCATTCCATGCACACACGCATGCACGCACACGGACAACAAGCTGAGTGCAAACCGTAGGGTTGCACCAACAACCTTTGCTCCCACCCCGAAGATGACCATTCTTCGGGTGTTGCTGCATATCACAGCTCATCGCGAATAAGAGTTACACTCCTTGGGCTTTACCACAGCGTTCCTTCAGGGGAGCCTGCCTAGCTTCACGAGCTCTTTACCTCATAGGACCTAATGGCAGCTGCGTCGACCGGTCTACGACCTGCGTGACGCTCCTCAGGAGTGGCACGACACACTTCGCACGATACTTGCAGCGCTTGACTTCTTTCGCACGACCCATCGCTCTTCGTCCGCCGTAGCTCGACCCTGTTCATTTTTTTTTTCGGTTTATGTTGACGACCTAGTCTTCGCCATTGCCAACCAATGTGCATTGGCCTCCGTGATGGAGGAACTGCAAAGGAGACACAGTTGCACTGACATTGGTAAGCTGCAGCGCTATCTTGGCCTACAGATCACCAGGGGCAGGGCAGCTCGCATCATTATGCTGACGTTGTTGCATATGGTCGAGCAGCTCCTCACGCAGTTTCGCTTCCCGTTCTCGAAGGTACAACTCACCCCCCTTGCTGTGGATCAAGGTCTTACAACTCCACCTTTGGACGGGCCATTCGAGTCCAACAATTCATATCCTGAGCTGGTGGGTTGTCTCATGTACCTGATGACATGTCGTCGCCCAGACCTAGCTTATTCTCTTAGCATCCTAGCGCGCTTTGTTGCGCATGGGAGACACCAACCCTCCCAATGGTAGGGTGGCGAAGTATATGGCGAGTATATCAGGCATGGAACCTGAGCTTGGAGGGAAGTAGACAGTTACCTTTACAAGTTTCTCGGACACGTCATGGGTCGACGATGCTGAGTCAAGCGTGGAAGAGAGTGACTCAACACTAGACGTCGGACACATGTTCCTAAGCTAAAACCAGCTATAGGTCCAAGCCTAGGCACGCAAGACTGAGAAGAACTTATAGCACTATATCGTCATCATATAGGATAAGATTAGCATACAAAGCAGCACGTACAGCAGGCCCATCCATACTGAACACCTAGTGACCCCTGTCATGCAGGGAGATGTAGGTAGGTCAGCCAAAGTATCACTTGTTGGGGCGCGCACCCCCGTAGACAAAGCCGCGGTGCATAACGGTCCAAGACACGTAGTGGCCAACTGTGGCATGAGTCCATTCGAGCTGAGGGACCCAGGGGTGGGGCTGCTGGTTGATGCTGCTAACCATGCGGCTGCTACCACTGTTGCTGCTGCTGTTGCGTCGACATAGTATTCTACCTGGCATGGGGTGTGGCAGCTCTAGCGGCGGTTTTAGCAGCGGCTAAAATGGCTGTGGTGGCTGGAGCAGGGGCAGTAGCGGCTACATCAGGGGCGGCAATGGCTGTAGTGGCAGGAGCACAAGCAGCAGCGGTTGTAGTTATCAGGGGCAGCAGTGGTGCAGTAAGCAGTGGCATTAGCTCTAGTGGCAGCGACTGGCTGCAGCGGTAGCACCACTAGCTGCAGCGGCGGCGGGAGCACCTGGAGTGGCGGCAGCTAGCTGCAGCGGCGGCGGCACTAGTTGCGGTGGTGGCGGCAGTAGTTGTAGCGATAGGAGCAGTGGCTAAAGTAGGGACGGCATTGCCTGTAGCAGTAGTAGCTGTCAACGGGAGTTGTGTAGGGCCTCGTCCTCGCTTGGGCGGAGCCGACCTCGTGGTCGGGTGCGCGGGAGATGCAGCCGACCTGCAGCAGTGGGCACGGGGGCCACTACATGCGCGCCGAGCAGGTGGACGCCGTCCTTAGTGTCTGGGCGGCGTCCTGGGCATCTGCACGGCGTCCTGGGAGGCTGGACGCCGAGCTGGGCGTCTGCTCGGCGTCCTGGGCGCCTGGACGCCGACCTGGGCGTCTGCTGGGCGTCCTGGGCCGACCTGGGCGTCTGCTCGGCGTCCGGGGAGGCAGGACGCCGACCTGAGCGCTGCTCGGCATCCCGGGCGTCTAGACGCCGACTGGGGGGCCTGGACGACGTCCTGGGTGAGGGGACGCCGACCAGGACGCTAGGACGCCGACCTGGGGACGCCGGGCTTGGTGTGGTCGGCGCCCGACAAGGCTGGTCGACCAGGCAGGGTTGCCCGGTCGACCGGGATACCCGGGCGACAGCTGCGAAGGTCGCCGGGGATGGTTTTGGCAAAGGGCAACCTCGGGGGTGGTATCCCGAGGTCGACGTGGCTGATGGGCGCCGTCACGGGCGGGAATGTCTGCGCTGGGCACGTGACGGGGAGTTGGACGCCAACCAGCCGCGCGCACCTGCGAAGCAGGTGCACCGTTGTCCTGCGGGTGCAGCGCTGTGCAGCCGACTTGCTGCAGCGCTGGCACACCGTGGACTTGCAACGTTGGCGCGCCGCATCTCTGCAGCGCTGGAGCGGTGCGAGCATTGCTGCGCTGGAACGCGGTCGACCATGCTGCGCTGGAGGTCGACCAGCAGCCTAGCTAGCTCTGATGTAGTCAGTGTTGCCAACGTTGTTGCTATCATTGTTGTCAATCTTTGCTAGTGAAACTCTTGCAAAATCTCCCCGTGAATGTGCAAGCAGAGAACACACCAGCAAACGACTAAGGAACGAACGCAGAGATCCCTCTCACACAACGTGCCTTCCCCGTAGTCAAGCTCCCGTTGCTAGAGTTATCTCCGCATGGTGCGGTGAGCGTGGACGACACCGCGAGGTAGTCCAGTCTAGCCGACTTTGCACGTCCCGATAGTGTTCGTAGACCGGCAGCTGTGCGCTAGCCACCATGGTAGGCGGCGTAGGTGACGCCGGGGTGGTGGACACCCTAGAGGCACGGCTGGAGAATGCGAGGAGGAAGCACGAGGCCAACGAGTACGGCGACCTGCCGTGGGCGGTCGTCGAGGCCGGGCTCCGCAGCATGTGGGCAGTGGAGCACCCTTCTCGGCCTGCTTCTCCTCGACCGGTGAACACCGAGGGCGGCGTCGACGTGGGCGTCAACGCCAGTGGAGGCCAAGTCGGTAGCAGTGCGGGAGGCACATCGCGGCAGAGAGGTGTGATACACGCCGGTGAAGTCGGCGGCGTTCAGGCGCGAGGGATGCAGTCTTCGGCAGCTGCAGGGACCTCGCAAGGCTACGTCGGAGGCCGACGTAGTGGATTGGCGCCGATGTCGGCGACGCACGTGACCGCGGAAGGGATCGCGCCGAGCTACGGCTACTTCAAATTTCCGCCGGACAGGATCCAGGTCACCCCCCCGCTGGTCGGTCGACCGGACATTCTCACCTGGAAGGAGGCAATCGAGCCTCAGCTGGAGATGGCCGGGCTGATCGGCTTCGCTCGTGGGACCGTGGAGACTGTTATAGTCACAGTAGGCTCCAATAGGCTTCAATGTGCCTAGAACCAAAGATAGAGTGCGCAGTCAGGTTTCTGCACAGCGGCTTTAAACGTTCATAGCGATCTGCTCACACCTCCAATTGACCTCATTCAACTTGGATCTGGAGCGTCTTAACGTGCCCTACAATAGGCAATTTAGATCGCACAATTTCATCAAGTATTGACAACACAGCGTCAGTTTGAACGAAGGGCACTATGGCAGCAACATAGTCTTAGAACACACAATTACGAACATCTAGGAAGAGTTACGAGTTGGGAATGACTCCCAGCTCCTACAAACCCCAAGAGCCGAGGTACAGTGATGTGGAACAGTGCCACACTGTCCCCAACCAAGAAGGGTCTCGAAACTACCCTCCACAAGGGCCTACACCCATAGAAATGTTACACTACAAATTGTAATGTAACTATCTTCAATATCTTGAGGTGTACCCTTTTGGCCAGCTTCGTAATCACATGAAGCTTGAACCAAGGCTCTGGTTCTTCATCACAAAACTCATCCTTGAGTTCTTGATGGGTCTGCTGCACACACCTGCGACACGCCGAACGTTCGACAAGCGACAAAATAGAAACCGCGCACGACAAAATAGAAACCGCGCGGGACACACAAAATGATCGCGTTATACGCGACTAGCGATAATTCGCTATTGACTTGACACACACACACTCGACATCATGACCCATCATTCACACACCATTATAAGCATGAAATATATATTTATTTCATGCACTCATACCACTCCATACACACACGCATGCACGCACACGCACACGGACAACAAGCCGAGTGCAAACCGTAGGGTTGCACCAACAGAGACGCCGGAGGAGATCTACCCCGACTTGCGTGCGGAGTTTCGCGCCGTGCAGCTGCTGACCTTCATGGTCATCTCGCGGTGCTGCTCGCCGGGTGTGCAGATCGCCTTGAAGTGCTGCAGGGAGCACCTTGACGCTGGGCACCAGGCGTGGCATTTCATCGAGTCGACGTACCAGGTCACCGACGACCTGTACATCGGCCAGCTCGAGGAGCAGCTGTCGCACCTGCGAGCAGGAGACGGCGACCGACTACTGCAACCGAGCTCGGCGACTTCTCGCCATGATGAGGATGGCCGGCGTGAACTACTCGACGGCGTCGTACGTCACGCATGTGATCAAGGGCCTCACGAGCAGCTACAACCTGCTGAAGCGGCTGTCAGTGGCGCCGAGCACGCGGGCGACGCTCAACGAGGATTCCCTTACCTCGTACATCCTGCAGGACGAGGCGATGCAGGAGGCCGAGAAGTCCACGGAGCTCCTGCTGCAGGCGAACTACGTCGCCCCGGCGAAGCAAGGTAGCCGACCAGGGCAGCGCGGTAAGCCTGGCAGCGGTGGTAGCGGAGGTGGGAAGCCGGCCAAGGACGCTGACAAGGGCAAGTCGGCAAAGGACGGCGGTCGCGGAGGAGGAAGTCGGCGTCGGGAGTGCTGGATCTGCCGCAGCCCCGACCACCTCTCCTTTGAGTGTCCCGACCGCAGTGAATCCGATGACGACGACGCCAAGGGAGGCCGCGGGAGGTCGGCCAGCCGTCGTCCACGTCGAGGAAACCAGCCGCGCAAGGAGAAGCAGTCGACCAAGTCGACCTCGGCGAAGGACGCCGACTCCTCTGCTGGCGGCAAGGGGAGCGGCGACAAGTCGGCGTCATGCTCCCTGGTCGGCGTCGTGGAGCCGACCGTCTTACTGGCACCGGAGGCCGGTGAGGATTTTCAGGCGATGGCAGCAGCGGTGCAGGCGAACCCGGCGGTGGTCCTGCTGGACAGCGGCTGCTCCCACCACCTGATGGGGACGAAGGAGGTCTTCGTCGACATGGGGCCGAGCGGCGACGTGAAGCACGTGCGCGGCTTCAACGGGGCGCTGCAGGACGTCAAGGGCCGGGGCACGGTTGCGCTGCAAGGGGAGGCCGGGAAGCGGGTGCTCATCCCCGACGTGCTGTACGTCCCCGGCGTGCACGCGAACCTGCTGTCATCCGGCCAGCTGAAGGAGCACGGCGTGAAGCTGAAGGAGGACGGCGACGGCATGCTGCTCGTCTCGGCGACGGGCGACGTGCTCGGTCGAGCAACGTACTGCGGCCGAGTTCTCTGCACCGACCTGCGTCCCTGCCCAGCGACGCCTGGAGCGGAGGAAGTAGCTCTCCGAGCAATCGTCTCGGCGACGAAGATGACGCCGGACAGGCTGCACGCGAGGCTCGCGCACGTCGGTATGGACACCATCTTGAGCTCGGCGAAGCACGAGGTAGCCACCGGGCTGGACCTCAAGTCGGCGTCCGGCGCTGCCTCGCCTTGCGTTTCGTGCGTCGGTGGGAAGCTGGCGCGGCACACCTTCCCCGACAAAGGCTCCGACGCCAAGGACGCCCTGGCCGTCGTGCACATCGACCTGTGCGGGCCATTTCGTGTGGCTGCCAAGGATGGCAGCCTGTACTTCTTGCTGCTGAAGGACCGCAAGACCCGCTTCGTGTGGGTGAGGCCGGTCGCCAAGAAGTCGGATGTGCTGCTGGAGTTCCAGAAGTGGCTGGTGCTGGTGGAGCGGCAGACGAAGAAGTCGGTGTTGCAGCTGCGCTCTGACCGAGGAGGGGAGTTCCTCGGCAAGGAGTTCACCGCCTTCGTGGATGGCAAGGGGATCGTCCACGACCTGACCTGCCCTTACACCCCGCAGCAGAACGGCATGGCGGAGCGGGAGATGCGAACGGTGGTGGAGTCGGTGCGAACCATGCTGCTGCACATGGGCGTGCAGCACCACTGGTGGCACCTCGCTCTGCGGCAGGCCGTCTGGGTCCGCAACTGCCTGGAGCGGTCGGCGACGCCGGGGACGACGCCATACCAGCTGCTCACCGGGACGAAGCCCGACTTGTCGCTGGCGCGCGTGTGGGGCTGCATGGCGCAGTTCCTGGTCCCCGAGCAGCAGTGCGGTGGGAAGCTGAATCCGAAGGCCAAGTGGGGCCTCCACCTCGGCGTGTCGGAGGAGAGCAAGGGCTGGGAGCTCCTCGACATCGCTGACAACCGGGTGGTCACCACGTCGGACGTGGTGTTCTACGAGACCATGTCGCTCGAGGTGTGGAAGTCGGAGCATGGGCCGGTGTCGGGGCGGACGCTGGTGGCCACGCCAACAAATACCTCGACGGCGACGCTGCCTCTGCTCGCCGAGGTCGGTGAGCTTGCTGATGAGGACGCCGAGGTCGTCCACCCTTCCTCCCCTTCTCCTTCTCCTCCCCTCGTCGCCGACCTGCGTGGGCTGACTCCGGCGTCGGCCTCCGGCGATGAGGGGAGCAGTGGGGCGTCGCCTGTGGCGCCGACCAAGAGCATCGCCGGTGGCCGTCGGGACGTCCCGCAAGTCAGCTTGGAAGCGAAGTCGACAGGAGGGACGCCGGGGAAGCCGCAGGCCGAGCAGGTGACGCCGACATGGGAGCAGGCAGCAGCGCGGCCGACCCAGGAGCAGTCGGCGACCTGGCAGTCGGCAGGGGAGCTGACAGCAGGGGAGAAGTCGGTCGGTCGGGACGCCGGTTTTGGTGCAGCAGGACGCTGAGGACAGTGAAGCCGGCGAAGCTGAAGGGGAGCAGTTTGACGCCGAGCAGAACCCCGAGCAGCCTGCACTGCGGCGTTCGGGACGAATTCGGAGGCCGCCGGAGCGGCTAACCTACCATGTCTGCCTCCCACCGGCCGCCTTCACCACGGTGTACGACGTGGAGGATGACGACGACGTGCTGTACGACGACGCCGACGAGGACGAGGAGTTTCCGGAGCTCGACCCCGACATGCACGCCGACCCCGAGCACCGCTGGGACATCGCGACGATGACGGTGAAGGAGGCGTTGGCGAGCTAGAAGGGCCCGGCGGTGAAGGCCGCCATGGAGGAGGAGATCCGCAGTCTCCTCGCCATGGGCACGTGGGAGCTGGTAGAACGCCCGCCGGGAGTGAACATCATGAAGAACCGGTGGGTGTTGACCACGAAGTACCGCATCGACGACACCGTCGAGCGCGAGAAGGCAAGGCTGGTCGTGAAGGGCTTCACGCAGGTGTACGGCGCCGACTACGACAAGACGTTCGCACAGGTGGGGAGCTACGTGACGCTGAGGATCTTCCTCAGCATCGTCGCCGTGCTCAACCTCAACCTGATGCAGCTCGACATGAAGAACGCCTTCCTGCAGAGCAAGCTCGACCGGGTGCTGTACATGTCGCAGCCGGACTACTTCAACGACGGAACCGGCCGAGTGTGCAAGCTGCTGAAGAGCCTGTACGGGCTGAAGCAGTCGCCGCTGCTGTGGTACTTGGCGCTCAACGATGTGCTGGTCGGCGCCGGGTGGAAGAAGAGCCAGGTCGACGAGGCTCTGTACTTCAAGGTCGGCGACGACGGAGTGGCCTGCTGGGTGCTGGTCTACGTCGACGACCTGTTGGCCGCCAGCAGTAGCGCCGCGATGCTGAAGGAGCTGAAGGAGCTGCTGGCAGCCGCCTTCGAGCTGCGCGAGATCTCGCCGGTGCAGAAGTACCTCGGGCTGGAGATCGTGCGCAACAGGTCGGCGGGGAAGCTGTGGCTGCACCAGCAAGGCTACGCCGACAAGCTGCGTAGGCGCTTCATCGACGAGGAGCAGACCGGGCGCACCCCGAAGACGCCGGTCTCGGTCGACGCCTACGCCGAGCTCACCTTCGACGACGAGGAGGCGCAGGAACGCCAGGAGGAGGAGTACCGGCAGAAGGTCGGCTCGCTGCAGTTCGCGGCGACGACAACGAGGCCGGACATCGCCTTCGCCTGCAGCAAGCTGGGGAGCGGCCTCACGGTGAGGGCCGACCAGCACTGGCGTGAGGTCGACCGCTGCCTCGCCTACCTCGCCAACACGCGTGACACCGCCCTGGAGTTCGGCGGTGGACCTGAGTCGCTGGAGCTGGTCGGCTACGTGGACGCCGACGACGCCGGTGACAAGCAGAACCGGACGAGCACGGGAGGCTACGTGTTCGTCTACGGAGGGGCCGCAGTCTCCTGGTCGAGCCAGCGCATCAAGTGCGCGACGCTGTCGTCGACCGAGTCGGAGTACGTGGCGGCCGTCGAAGCCGGCAAGGAGGGACGCCGACTTCGCTTCCTCCTCGCAGAGTTCCGGCAGCTGGACGCCGGGAAGCCGACTGTCCTGCGAGTGGACAACAAGTCGGCCATCACGGTCGCCGGGGGCATGGGGTTGACGGGCAACCTCAAGCACATGGAGCGGCGACAGGCCTGGCTGCAGCACATGGTGAAGCAGGGGAAGTTTGCGCTGCAGTGCATCCCGACCGATGAGCAGCCAGCCGATTTTCTGACAAAGGCGCTGCACTACCCGGCCTTCAACCGGTGCTCCGTCGCAGTCGGCCAGGTGCGCCTGGCTGAAGTCGGCGACGGTGACAACGATGTGCAGCAGTAGGTGCCATGCCCTCTTGCATGGCTGGTGCGGTGACCGGCGTGCTGTGTGTTGTGTGCACGCCGCCGAGCTATTCTCCGAGCAGTGCTGCCGTGTGGGCTGGGGGCCCAAGCGTGAACGCGGCAGGGGAGTGTCAACGGGAGTGTTGTAGGGCCTCGTCCTCGCTTGGGCGGAGCCGACCTCGTGGTCGGGTGCGCGGGAGATGCAGCCGACCTGCAGCAGTGGGCACGGGGGCCACTGCATGGGCGCCGAGCAGGTGGACGCCGTCCTTAGTGTCTGGGCGGCGTCCTGGGCATCTGCACGGCGTCCTGGGAGGCTGGACGCCGAGCTGGGCGTCTGCTCGGCGTCCTGGGCGCCTGGACGCCGACCTGGGCGTCTGCTGGGCGTCCTGGGCCGACCTGGGCGTCTGCTCGGCGTCCGGGGAGGCAGGACGCCGACCTGAGCGCTGCTCGGCATCCCGGGCGTCTGGACGCCGACTGGGGGGCCTGGACGACGTCCTGGGTGAGGGGACGCCGACCAGGACGCTAGGACGCCGACCTGGGGACGCCGGGCTTGGTGTGGTCGGCGCCCGACAAGGCTGGTCGACCAGGCAGGGTTGCCCGGTCGACCGGGATACCCGGGCGACAGCTGCGAAGGTCGCCGGGGATGGTTTTGGCAAAGGGCAACCTCGGGGGTGGTATCCCGAGGTCGACGTGGCTGATGGGCGCCGTCACGGGCGGGAATGTCTGCGCTGGGCACGTGACGGGGAGTTGGACGCCAACCAGCCGCGCGCACCTGCGAAGCAGGTGCACCGTTGTCCTGCGGGTGCAGCGCTGTGCAGCCGACTTGCTGCAGCGCTGGCACACCGTGGACTTGCAACGTTGGCGCGCCGCATCTCTGCAGCGCTGGAGCGGTGCGAGCATTGCTGCGCTGGAACGCGGTCGACCATGCTGCGCTGGAGGTCGACCAGCAGCCTAGCTAGCTCTGATGTAGTCAGTGTTGCCAACGTTGTTGCTATCATTGTTGTCAATCTTTGCTAGTGAAACTCTTGCAAAATCTCCCCGTGAATGTGCAAGCAGAGAACACACCAGCAAACGACTAAGGAACGAACGCAGAGATCCCTCTCACACAACGTGCCTTCCCCGTAGTCAAGCTCCCGTTGCTAGAGTTATCTCCGCAGTAGCAGGGCCGGCAATGGCTTGAGTACGCAGTAACACAGGCGGCAGTCACTGTAGCAGGTAGTAGCAGGGGCGGTAGTGGCTATAGCAGGCAGTATCAGAGCGGTAAGGGCTGTAGCGGTAGTAGCAGGGGCAGCACTGGCAATCGCAGGCGTTAGCAAGGGTGGCAGTGGTTGCAGCAGGCAGTTACAAGGGCGGCAGTGGCTATAGCAGATAGTTTCAGCGACGGTAGTGGTTGTAGTGGCAGTGGCAGGGGTAGAAATGGCTGTAGCATGCAGTCGCACAAGCAGTAGCAACTGTAGCAGGCAGTTTCAAGGGTGGCTATAGTAGCAGTCGGGCTCGTATTGGGCTAGGCGAGGGGGGAGCTTAAAAAAATCTAGACCAAGCTCAGATACCATGACATGATTTGAGAGTGAAAATTGTGCACTAGGGTAGAATCAAGAGTACAAGGAACAAGTTATATCTTCATTATGAACTACCCCTAATCTAGCCTACATGACTATATAAACATAACATGCAAATATATAGTTCGACAGCAACGTCATGCTTTGTTGAACTCTTAATCGTGTTGATGCAGACGTGCGCGAGCCTCCCATGGCATCGACTTTGTCGCATAGGCGATCGTTTGAAGAGCCACCACCACAGATGACGTTGAGGTCAAGTTTGTCGAGCTCGCCGAGCAATGGCACAGGTCGGTACAGAGGACCCGGACGGTATACTTCGCTCGACAAAGCACGTCCCCAGCCAACGTGACGAGCAGCATCTCATTGCCGTCAACCTTTAGTTTAACGGCGATGTCATTTAGCTAGCCGGCCGATAGCAGATTCACCTGCAGGCCTAGAATGTAGAGCACATTGGGGACAAGTATCCGCTTCCCGGCCTTCCCTTGAAGAGTGACGGTGCCGCAGCCCTCGACAGTCTACAGAGCCTCGTTGAAGCCGCGCACATTTTGCACATCGTCGCTTGGTGCCATGTCGATGAAGGCCTCCATCGTCCCCATCAGGTGGTGCGAGCAGCCGATGTCGGGAAGCACCACCGACAGGTTCGCTTGCACGGTGGCCGTGGCCGCCTTACAGTCCTCGCCAGCCTCCGGCGCCAGCAAGACTATCGGCTCCACCACACCGACCATCGAGCACGGCGCCTTCCCGTCGCCTCGACCCTCGCCGCTAAATTTGTCGACGTTCTTCGTCGAAGGCGTCTTCTTCGACGCCAGCTTCTCCTTGCGCGACTTCTCATCTCGACATGGGCGACGACTGGCCAACTGTCCACAGCCTCCTTTGTTGTCATCTTCGCTGCTATTGTCACGGTCGAGGCACTATAAGGAGAGGTGGTCAGAGTCACCATAGACCCAGCACTCCCGCCGTCGACCACCATCGTTTCGACCGCTCTCCTAAGCCGACTTTTTTTGGTCGACATCCTCCGTCGACCTCCCACCCTTACTACCCCTGCTGACGACTTTGTTTCATCGGGGTGGCATAGTTTGCCTGCAAAAAGAGCTCCATGGGCCGTTTTGCCTCCTGCATAGCCCCATCCTTGATGATGTGGCTATTCAGGGTGTCCTCGTCAGGCGAATCTCGCACGCCAGGCATCGCCATCGTCCGGCGCATCGAGTTGTAGCCACTCGGCAAGCCCTTAATGATGTGCGTGATGTACAACGTCATCGAGTAGCCGACGCCAGCCATCCTCATGTCAGTGAGGAGTTGTCGAACTCGGTTGCAGTAGTCCGTCGCCGTCTCCTGCTCGCCTATCCTATTGTGAGTCAGCTACTTCTCTAGGTGGCCGATGTATAATTTGTTCGTCACCTAGTACAATGCCTGGTGGCCTTCGTCTAGTCGATGTCGACATTGCTTCAGCGCAATCTGCATCATCGACAAGCAACACCTCGAGATCACCATGGAGGTCTGCAAGTGTGAAGAATGAAACTCCACTCGTAGCTCGACCTTATCCTCATCCGATATCGGCACGTCGTCATCGGCGAAGCACTTCAGTTAGCCGATCTCCAGCTAAGGCTTGATGGACTCCGTCCACGTGATAAGGTCCCGTCGACCTTGCAGCGGTGTAGGAACGACGATCTTGTCCGTCAAAAACTTGAAGTAGCTGTACGCCGGCGCGATCCCGCGCACCATCCCATGCGTCGTCTGGGCCTCCTATTGCTTCGACAAGGAGAGCGACGTTGTCCTTCGACATCGGCACGCGAGCTGCCTGTGGCCGCCGTCGACCGCTGCACTTGCGCCTGGCTCCCACCGACGCCACCGTCGATGGACCTGATTACTCCTCTCTTCTTCGTGCCCTCGCGAGTGCAGACTTGGTCACCACCATCGACCTCCTCATCAACGCCAGCTTCGTTGTGCACCGATTGAGGAGAAGCAGGTCGGGAGGGATGTTTCGTTGCCCACTTCGTGCAGATCCTTAGGAGCACCACCTTCGAGGGAATCACCGGCCGGAACTCGCCAGCCAAGTGGTGTCTCTTCACATCAGCCAATTGTGCCTCCAGTGTATCCTCTACCATGCTAGCCCCTGTCGGGATAGGCGTCATGGTCTGCACGGGCTGCCGGCCCACAAAAGACTAAGGTAAGTGTGCAATCGACTACTAGTCTTAAGGTTCCTTGCGGGGTCGTCCACGCTCACCGTTTCATGTGGAGATTCACTCTACAACAGTGGGAGCTAGACTACGGGGTTGGCACAAGTTGTATGAGTGATTGTAGATTTGTTTGCATTCACTAACACTTACACCTTCACGAGTAGAATTGGCAAGATTTTCACTAGAGAAGTAGGGATTATAATGAACAAGCAATGGCAAGAATGACTACATCAACGCCTAGCAACCTAGCAGTCAAACTGATCGACTGCCAGCGCATCAACCAGCGTTGTGTAGAGGCACCACGCCAGCATTGCAAAAGCGCGACCTGCCAACAGAGCAAGTTAGTGGCCTGCCAACACTCCACTAGGGCGGCTTGCCAACATTGCATTTGCAACTGATAATAGCGCATGTGTGCATCCACTTCGCGGGTGTGCGGCGACGGTTGAGCACGTTCTCTACCGTCGCGCGGGTGCCAAGTTGGCCACGTGCAGATGGTTGTGCCTGATGCTCCACGTCGACCTTGGGATACCAAGCCAAGGTCGCCTTTGCCATCAGATCCCCGACGACGGTCGCGCGCCCCCTCAGGACCTCGTTGATGAGGCTTGGTCGACCGTGTTGACGACCGATCACCCTGGTCGCCGTTCGTCAACCGACTCGATCAGCCGTTATCGTCGAAATATCGTCTTCGACAGCTGTTCGCAAGTCCCGCAGAGGGTGACGAACTGATTCGTCGACATTCCCTATCAAACTAGCCACCGGCTTCCGTGGACAGCGACTTAGCATTGGTCTTCTACAGGTCGACCCACTCCGTCGACCAGTAAGTGTTCACCTTTGCGGATGGTCGGCTGCACCCGACTACGAAGTCGGCTTAGCCCAAGCAAGAGCGAAGTCATCACCCAATTTGTGAGAGTACGACGGCTTATGCTTGTTATTCATGCTTGCTATTATTTCCTTACGCTATTCCTAGCTTAGGTTTATTTTCTGCATGCATGAATTGCTTGATTTCCTAGGTTCGTTGCTTTACTATAGTTATTATAGTTATAGGCACCAAACCAAGTTACGTGTACCGAACTCAAGCTATTCGGTTGCCACCGAATTGCTTTCTACCGAGTTCGGGAAGGTTCTGTTCGGGACGCTTCGCGACCCTCGGAACATTCGCGTAACACCTGGGTTACCTGCCTTGTGTCGAGCCTATATATAGCCTCGTGTTGTACCCAGGTGATCATTCAATTCACATTCTCTTTTCTGAGCTCGATCCTAAGATCCTCACACTTGGTAATCAGAGCCCGTTTACACGCGAAGTTTTTTTTACCGCTAAAACCCAGTGTTAAAAAAACTGCGGGGGCGACGCAGTTAAACATCGATTTCGGGTACGTAAAACCGGTTCCGTGATTTACGCTCCCCCTCGATTCGGTTTTTCGGACGCGTTGATGTTGTCGAACATTATATATGTTGTGTTTGTTAGGCTACAGTGGGTTAGCCTATATGGGGTACACAATTCTAGGGTTTGCTATTTGTACTGATTTCTCTGTTAGTTCAATCATTCCTGCTCAGTTCTTCTGACATGGTTTCAGAGCAGGTCCTTCGCTAGGACCTAAGTTCTCTTCGGGCCCACCACTACCTACTACCTACTAGCGCCCTCGTGCGCCCTACTATCGGAGTGCGCTTTAGCGCCTCCCCCCTTAGCGCCCTCGCGCGCTTCTCCTTTTTTTTTTTTTTCCGGCCCCGCTGGCCCCGTCGATCACGCTCTGCCTAAAGGCCCCGCGGCCCCGTCGCGCTCTGCTTAGAGGCCCCGCGGCCCCGTCGCGCCCCACCTAACGGCCTCGCGGCCCCGTCGCGCCCCGCCTAGAGGCCCCGCGGCCCCGTCGCGTCCCGCTTAGAGGCCCCGCGGCCCCGTCGCGCCCCACCTAACGGTCCCGCGACCCCGTTGCGCCCCGCTTAGCGGCCCCGCGGCCCCGTCGCGTCCTGCTTAGAGGCCCCGCGGCCCCGTCGCGCCCCACCTAACGGCGACCCCATTGCGCCCCGCTTAGCGGCCCCGCGGCCCCGTCGAGCCCCGCTTAGAGGCCCCCGCGGCCCCGTACCGCCCCGCTTAGCGGCTCCGCGCAGCCGCGCAGCCCGAACCGAGCCGCGCCGCCCTACCTGAACCGAGCCGCGCCGCCCGACCGAGCCGCGCCGCCCGTACTGAGCAGCCCCGTCGATACTGCTGCTCCTACTACTGCTCCTACTGCTACTGCTGCTACTGCTACTGCTGCTGCCACTATGGCTAGTCCTCCCGTACTTGCTTTCGATGCTGAGGGCCGCCCAGTGAAGTTTGACACCTGGCTAGATGACCTGCACCTCTTCCTACAGCTCACTGCCAAGGAGGATATTTCGCTGTACGATCATGCCCTCGGTCACGCTACTGCCCCTCCTACCACTGCAGACAGCACTCAGCGCTCACAGTGGCAGACTCGTGACGCCCACGCTCGCTTCGCTATTCGCAACTCCCTGCCGATAGATGAGCGCGAGCACTTTGGCCAGCACAAGACTGCTAAGGAACTGTACACTGCTGTTGTTGCTCGTTACTCCTCACCTGCTTCTGCCACACTAGGCCGCCTCACCCTCCCCTACCTGTTCCCCGACCTCTTTCACACAGTTGCTGACCTCATCACCCACCTCAAGACTAGTGAGGCCCGCTTTCGCGCTGCTATGCCTGACGAGTTCCTTGCTAGCAATCCCCCCCCGCTCTGGATCACTCTCTACCACATCGTCACCCGCCTCCCTGACTCTCTGCGCGCAGTCAGGGACCACTTCCTCGCTCGCTCCCCCACTGAGCTCACCATTGCCCTCCTCGAGAAGGAACTGCTTGCAGCTGAGGCGAGCATCGTCGCTGTAGGCGCTTCTCGTAGCGACCCCCGCACCCCGTCCTTTGAGGGGTGTTCCCCTTCCCCCCTTCTCCCCTCTGTAGCCTCTGCTGCTGCTGTCGACCTCCTTGGTGCTGAGAAGGTCGGGACCGCGTCTGCTCCGAGCGGGCGCCGCAGGAGCAAGGGGGGCAAGGGTGGAGGTGGCGGCGGGGGAGGCGGGGGTGGAGGCGGTGGGAGTGGAGGTGGGGCTGGAGAGGCTAGTGGCGGCAGTGGGGGTGGTGACAGCAGCGGCGGGAGCGGTGGCAGGGGCGGAGGCGGCAGCGGAGGCGGAGGTGGTCGTGGCGGCGGCAGGGGTGGAGGTGGCCGAGGCGGTGGCGGCGGCAGTGGTGGTCGTGGAGGCGCTGGCGGTGGCCAGAGCCAGCAGCACGCCCCGTCGCTCCAGGAGGCCCGTGAGTGGTATTCGCAGCGGGGGGGGGCGGGTGGCTTTACCTGCACGTACGTCATCCGCACTGGTGACCGCACTGGCCAGACGTGTGGGAGGCCGCACCCCACGCAGCGCTGTTTCTCGCGCCTTACCGACGCTTGGCGCGTCCAGTTTCCTGATGCCACTGAGCTGCCCCGCTGGGCTGATCTGGAGAGGAAGGGAGTTGATATCTGGGCTCTAGACTTTGATGCTATTCTCACTGCCATGTATGCGATGTTTACTAGTGGAGAGGGTGCTCAGTACTTGCGTGTTCCGCCCGACCCAGGCATTCTGACCAGTCCGACTGCCGCTCTAGGTGCTAGTGAGTCTGCTGCCCCAGGTCCTGGTGAGGCTGCTGCTCTAGGTGCTCGTGAGTCTGTGCCCCCTGGTACTGAGTCAACTGCAGCACTGCACACCTTCACACTGGACTCAGGTGCTTCTCGCTGTTTCTTTCGTGACCGCACTGTCCTTGAGCCACTCGCTCGGCCAGTTGCTGTCTCCCTCGCTGACCCCTCTGGGGGTCCGGTCATTGCTGTCCTTCCTTATCCTGCGGTCCCGTCAGGCACACTGTCAGGTCTCTACCTCCCCTCGTTCTCTACGAACTTGGTGGCAGGTAGTGCGCTCCAGGACGGGGGTGTTCACCAGTTCACCCCTGCTTACGAGCGCGTGACACACTGCACGTGTGCTCGGACGGGCCGCCACCTGGCTACCTTCACTCGGCAGCCGGGGTCGGACCTGTACACACTGACCACTGAGTCCCCTTAGGTAGCTGCGTCCGCGTCTGCGTCTGCGTCAGGTCAGCTGTCCGCCCCCTGCTCGTGTCGCTCTCTGGCGCATGAGACTGTCCTCTGGCACCACCGCCTTGGTCACCCGTCTGTGCAGCGCCTTCGGGCCATGCACAAACGGGACCTTGTTGCTGGTCTTCCCAGGGTTCTCCCTCCCCTACCACCCTCGCCTGCTCCTCCCTGTCTTCCCTGTGTCGAGGGACGGCAGCGCGCCGCTCCTCACTCCTCCTCGTTTCCCCCGACGACTGCTCCCTTGCAGATGCTCCACATGGACGTGTGGGGCCCAGCCCGCGTCCGTGGCCAGGGTCAGGAGAGGTACTTCCTGATTGTTGTTGACGACTTCTCGCGCTACACCACGGTCTTCCCCTTGCGCACCAAGGGTGAGGTCCCTGATGTCTTGATCCCTTGGATCCGCAGATCTCGTCTCCAGCTCAGCAAGCGTTTCCACTCCGACTTCCCTGTCTTGCGTCTGCACTCTGACAGAGGTGGGGAGTTTTCCTCCGGCCTCTTGGAGGCCTTCTGTCAGCAGGAGGGCATTGAGCAGTCGTTCACGCTTCCGGCCTCTCCACAGCAGAATGGGGTTGCTGAGCGCCGCATTGGCTTGGTCATGGAGGTCGCTCGTACCTCCCTGGTTCATGCGGCTGCCCCCCACTTTCTGTGGCCGTTTGCGGTCCGATACGCTGCGCATCAGCTCAACCTCTGGCCCCGAGTCTCCCTCCCGGAGACTTCTCCGACACTGCGTTGGACGGGAGAGGCTGGCGATGCGTCGCGTTTTCGGGTCTGGGGATCCCGAGCTTTTGTTCGCGACACGTCCGCGGACAAGCTCTCCCGTCGCGCTGTCCCCTGTGTCTTCCTTGGCTTTGTCCCGGACGCCCCTGGTTGGCAGTTCTACCACGCCACCTCGCGTCGTGTCCTGGCCTCTCAGGACGTCACTTTTGACGAGTCCGTCCCCTACTACCGCCTCTTCCCCTACCGCACTGCCCCACTCCCCCCCCCCGCCTGTCTTCCTCGCTCCAGGTGCTGAGGTACCAGACCCCCTCCCCCCTCAGGGTGCCGCTCCCTCAGGTGTGTCCCAGGTAGACCCGGGTGAGCCTGTCGAGGTAGCTGTTGACTCTCGTCCTGCTGGGGGTACTGAGCCTGAGGGTGCGGAGCCTGGGGGTGCTGAGCCTGGGGGTGCTGCGTCTGGGGGTGCCGAGCCTGGGAGTGCTGAGTCTGGGGGTGCGGAGCCTGGAGGTGCGGAGCCTGGAGGTGCGGAGCCTGGAGGTGCGGAGTCTGGAGGTGCTGAGCCTGGGGGTGCTGAGTCTGGGGGTGCTGCGTCTGGAGGTGCTGAGCCTGAGCGTGCTACACCTGGAGGAGCCCTCTCCTCCCAGCAGCTGCATGAAAGGTACCTACAGTACTGCCGCCTCCGGAGAGGTGCTGCTGGAGCCAGTACCAGTACTTCCCCTCCTACCCAGGAGCTCCCCTCCCTTCAGCAGATCCGAGAGTGGTACACGCGGCGCTGCAGTCTTCGGAGTGGAGCTCCTGGTGCTATGGATCCTGGGGGTGGCGCTGTTGCTGGTGCTGAGGACCCGGGCGTTGGAGCTGCTGCTGGTGCTGAGGACCCGAGCGGTGGAGCTGCTGCTGGTGCTGAGGACCTGAGCGGTGGAGCTGCTGCTGGTGCTGAGGACCCGGGCGTTGGAGCTGCTGCTGGTGCTGAGGACCCGAGCGGTGGAGCTGCTGCTGGTGCTGAGGACTCGAGCGGTGGAGCTGCTGCTGGTGCTGAGGACCCGCGCGGTGGAGCTGCTGCTGGTGCTGCGGACCCGGGCGGTGGAGTTGCTCTTGGTACTGAGGACCCTCTTGCTTACCCTCTTGGCCTTCTCGCTCGTTACGTGGCTCCTGGTAGGCACCGACCAGAGCACATGGCTGCTGCTAAGAGGGTGCGGAGCCTGGGGGAGCGGTGGAGCTGCTACTGGTGCTGAGGACCCGGGCGGTGGAGCTGCTGCTGGTGCTACGGACCCTGGAGTTGGAGCTACTGCTGGTGCTGAGGACCCGGGCAGTGGAGCTGCTGCTGGTGCTGAGGACCCAAGCGGTGCAGCTGCTGCTGGTGCTACGGACCCTGGAGTTGGAGCTACTGCTGGTGCTGAGGACCCGGGCGTTGGAGCTGCTGCTGGTGCTGAGGACCCGAGCGGTGGAGCTGCTGCTGGTGCTGAGGACCCTGCCGCTGGTGTCTCTGCTGGTTCTGGAGACGCTGCGCGGCCGCGACCGTACTTCGTACCGCTCCTTCAGCAGGTTCTTGGTCAGGCTCCTCCTCCTTGTCCTCCTCCCTCCTTAGAGTGTCCTCCGCCTGTCCAGTCGCAGTCACAGTTACCGCCTGCCTCGCCTCTCCTTGGTCCCTCTCCTTACACTGGTCCCACAGGAGGTCTTACGGAGCGTCGTGAGCCTGAGTCTCGTCCTGCGTCGCCTGTTCGTACTGCTCGCACTGGTCATCGTGTCCCACGTGAGCGTCCTCCTCCTGTCCCTGGCAGCGTGTCCCTCTGCCGTCTCCTCCTGCGTCCTCTCTTCCTACTCTTCCTGACCCGGAGTCTGACTCCCGTCGTGCTGCCAGTCCCACTGTCACGCGTCTTCTCGCCACTGTTGTCACTGACCCTACCTTTGAGTCCTCTGCTGCGTCTGCTCTGGTCGCTGAGTTGATAGACTTTGCTGCCCGGTGTCGTCTAGACTACGCCGCTAGCCTTGTTGCTGAGTCTGAGTCTGTCTGTCCTCCGTCCGTCGGGGGTGAGTGTGCTCTTGGCACGGACGTCCTTGAGGACAGACAGGAGGAGTTCCAGTGCTTTGCTGCTTCTTTGCCCCATCTCGTGTCCATGCTAGTTGCCCCTGAGGGAGACCCGGATGCACCAGACATCCCGACCCCGCGCTCTTACGCTGAGGCGATGGCGGGTCCCTACTCCTCTCAGTGGCAGACAGCCATGGACGCAGAGATGGCTTCCTGGAAGTCCACAGGCACCTACGTGGACGAGGTTCCCCCACCTGGGGTGAACATCGTCAGTGGCATGTGGATTTTCAGGGTGAAGCGTCCGCCGGGTTCTCCGCCTGTCTTCAAGGCGCGCTACGTTGCTCGAGGCTTCAGTCAGCGAGAGGGAGTAGACTTCTTCCAGACCTTCTCCCCCACCCCAAAGATGACCACTCTTTGGGTGCTGCTGCACATAGCCGCTCAGCGCGACTACGAGCTTCACTCACTTGACTTCAGCACTGCTTTCTTACAGGGCAGCCTACACGAGGAGATCTGGCTGCGTCGCCCTCCTGGCTTCACTGGGTCGGTTCCTCCTGGTACCCAGTGGAGGCTCCAGCGGCCGGTCTACGGTCTCCGCCAGGCGCCACGTGAGTGGCACGACACACTGAGGACTACACTTGCGGCTCTTAGGTTCACTCCTTCTACTGCTGACCCGTCGCTGTTTCTACGCACCGACACCTCGCTGCCGCCGTTCTACATCCTCGTGTACGTCGACGACTTGGTCTTTGCCACTGCTGACACTGCGGCACTCGCCCACGTGAAGTCGGAGCTGCAGAGGAGACACACGTGCACAGACCTGGGTGAACTGACAAGCTATCTTGGCTTGCGGATCACCCGGGACAGAGCACGGCGCACCATCACCTTGACTCAGTCACACATGGTGCAGCAGATCCTTCAGCGCTTCCGCTTCACGTACTCCTCGCCTCAGTCCACTCCTCTGCCTACCGGTCACTCGCTCTCAGCTCTGCCTTCGGATGAGTCCGTAGAGCCGAGTGGCCCGTATTCAGAGCTTGTGGGCTGCCTCATGTACCTGATGACCTGCACTCGACCTGACCTGGCATACCCTCTTAGCATCCTTGCACGCTATGTCGCTCCTGGCCGTCACAGGAAGGAGCACATGGATGCCGCTAAGAGGGTGTTGCGCTACTTGTGCAGTACGTCGGGCATGGGGCTAGTGCTTGGAGGACGAGACCGAGTTGTACTCACTGGACACTCAGACGCTTCTTGGGCGGACGACCAGGCTACTCAGCGGTCGTCTTAGGGTTACACCTTCAGCCTTGGCTCTGGCTCAGTTTCTTGGCATTCTACACGCTCTTCTTCGGTTCTCAGCTCCAGTTGTGAGGCTGGGATCTACGCCACAGCCATGGCGGCCCAGGAGCTCCGCTGGCTGACCTACCTGCTGACCGACTTGGGAGAGCGGCCTCGTTCTCCTCCAGTGCTGTACGTCGACAACAAGGCTGCCATTGCCTTGTGTGAGGAGCACAGACTGGAGCACAGAACGAAGCACATCGCCCTGCGGTACTTCCTTGCTCGAGAGCTGCAGCAGCGCGGCCAGCTTCGTCTGCGTTACGTGGCCACTGAGGCCAACACTGCTGATGTGTTCACCAAGGCGCTTCAGCCTTGTGACCATCAGCGTTTTTGCACTCTTCTAGGCCTTGTGCCTACTGGACCTCACCTGCTTACTTCTTGACTCTGTGTGTACTGTGATCTCTATATATATATACCTGCATGTTTACTCTTGCTAGGTTGTGATCATTGTACCTCTTGCTCTAGTATAAACCTGTATGTGAACTGGTCTTGTGACCACTTGCTTGTGCTCGGAATTTGTGTGGAATCCTCGAGATCCACCCTGAGCTTGTCTTGCCTTGCTTTGCCTTGACTGGTCTTGTGACCCCTAGTTCTCCCCCACTTTGCCTATGGGGGTGTGTCGAACATTATATATGTTGTGTTTGTTAGGCTACAGTGGGTTAGCCTATATGGGGTACACAATTCTAGGGTTTGCTATTTGTACTGATTTCTCTGTTAGTTCAATCATTCCTGCTCAGTTCTTCTGACAGATGTCAGGCATGGAGGGCCACGGCGACAATTAGGCGACCACGAGCGACATCGCGAGCATCTGCACCGACATGGAGCAGACGCAGGCGACGCTTCGTCGACTCGAAGCCCTTCTGACAAACCAACTCGGCTTCGCCACCGTAGCAGCAGCGACCGCAGCGAATGCAGCAGCGACAACACCAGCAGCAGTGGCGACACCGACATTTCACGGACCGATGGCACCACTGTCGCCGAACCTCGAAGCAGCACGACCGAGGCTCTTGGAGGCGTTCGATCCAAGCGCGAAGGGATCCGACGTCCGGCGATTCGTGGCCACCCTCGAAATTTACTTCGAGACCAATGGCTGTTCGACCCCGACGAATGACGCAACAAGAATCCGGCTCGCAGCGACACTGTTACGTGGACCGGCACTCGAGTGGATTTACAACACCGACGTGGCCCACGGGGAGAAAACATGGACGCAATTTCAGGCAGACTTAATCGAGCGTTTCGAACCTATTAATACGACCTACATGGCGCGGCAGCAGATACACCGACACAAGCAGTACAGTAGTGTAGCACAGTACACGCAGCAGATGGAGTTACTGTTCAACCGCATCCCCGACCTGACCGAAGGCGAAAAAATCCAGGCGTACACAGATGCCGTTGCACTCACATAGCGAACCAACCTCTTGGCCGCTTCCAGCTGCTCATGACTGGGACGTGAAACCACACTTGCAAGCCTGGATGTAGCAAACGCAATGTCAGGCCGCGTGTGGTTAGCCGCATAGTTGAGTGCCCCAACCATTGAATGAAACAGCTTCCTGTCACTCTCTCCCACCACCTCCTCATCAGCACAGGGCTCCACAGTGAACCCCGAAGGCAGTGGGGTGGCTGGCTTTCCTCCATCTTGCAGCCCATACTTCTCGGCCAGCCCCTCACAGTACTTCCTCTGGTGCAACCTCAACACTCCCTTGTCAAGGTCCCTCTCCACATGCATCCCCAGGTAATACTTCACATCTCCCATCTTCGAGCACTTGAACTGCATCTCCAGCATCTCCTCCACACGCTCAATCATCGCAGACGACTCGGAGAAAAGGAGGATGTCGTCCACGTACACCAGGAGCATGAGGAACTGCTCCTTCTCTTGCAGCAGGAACAGGCTGTGGTCGCACTCACTCTTCTTGAACCCCCCAGCCAGCAGTGTCTCCTCCAGCTTGTGGTACCATGCACGAGGAGCCTGCTTCAGGCCGTAGATGGCCTTCTTCAGCCTGCACACACAGCTGCTCCCATCATCCAGCCCCTCAGGCTGCAGCATGTACAGCTCCTCCAGGATGATCCCATTCAGGAAAGCAGTAATGATGTCCATTTGCTTGATCTTCCATCCGCGGTTTGCAACTGTTGCCAGCATCGTCCTCAGTGTAGTTCCCTTCCCCACAGGAGCAAAGATGTCGTCAAAATCCTTGCCCTTTGTCTGCTGGAACCCCTTAGCCACAAGCCTTGACTTGTAGCGGGTCAGCTCCCCATCAGGCCCGTACTTGTGCCTGAAAATCAGCTTCGAAGAGATTGCCTTCTTCCCAGGAGGCAGCTCACACAGCTCCCATGTGTCGTTCTCCAGCAGAGAGTCATACTCCTCAGCGTCTGGCCGCGTGTGCAAGCTGCTGAAGAACTTGTACGTGCTAAAGCAGTTGCTGCTATCGTGGCACTCGGCGCTAGATGCTCGTTGACGGGAATTGTGTGAGGATCTTAGGATCGAGCTCAGAAAAGAGAATGTGAATTGAATGATCACCTGGGTACAACACGAGGCTATATATAGGCTCGACACAAGGCAGGTAACCCAGGTGTTACGCGAATGTTCTGAGGGTCGCGAAGCGTCCCGAACAAAACCTTCACGAACTCGGTAGAAAGCAATTCGGTGGCAACCGAATAGCTTGAGTTCGGTACACGTAACCTGGTTTGGTGCCCATAACTATCATAACTATAGTAAAGCAACGAACCTAGGAAATCAAGCAATTCATGCATGCAGAAAATAAACCTAAGCTAGGAATAGCGTAAGGAAATAAAAGCAAGCATGAATAACAAGCATAAGCCGTCGTACTCTCACAACATTAATAACAAGCAGCAGCAGCAGCAGCAGCCGCAGCAGCAGCAGCAAAGTGCGGCTGACCGTCCTAGGAGGGATGTGCGCCCTCCCAACCGGCTTACCTACCCAAGCTTTGGGAAGCCAAAGGTGGTGCGGGCTGGGAGTGTGGCTGAGCAGTGTGATGAGGAGGAGATAGCGCACTGCTACTGGGCAGCCGTCCCTGAGCCCAAGACACTTACCGAGGCCTTGAGTGGGCCCGATGCTGAGAAGTGGAAGCAGAGTGGCTGGTACATGTAGAGCACGCAGTCCCGTTTACTCTGCTGGAAGGCATTCTTCGTGTTGAGCTGCATTAGGTGCAAGTCGAGGACGACGACGGTGCTAAGGAGATGATCCTTAGCATAACATTTTCCGTCGGCGACTTCGCAGTGATCCTGCGTAGGTTGACCAACTCTGTCAACCTGCTCGCCGAAGTTGGAATCGCCCACTACATACAGTCGGCTGCACCTATGGCACACCTGATTATGAATTCGGCTTTGCTTAGCGATGGTGGGGTCAATCCTTGTTAATAAACCATTGGTATATAAATTCCAAGGAAATGTAACTTTGGGATGTCACAAAAAGCCCGTGAAATATAGGAAGGAGGGGGATAGCGGGGGAGGTTAGGAGGCCTTTCAAATCGTACATTGATTTCATAAGAAAACCCCAAACTTCACCCGTAAAAATTGTTAGAGACTAAGGACCGAGTCTATGAAGATTAGGTGCCCAAATAACTCAAAATCGTTGGCTTCAAATTCTGGACAGAAACCGCGACTTCACAAGAAACGTCGTCGGCTAAAATTGCACCGTTAGAATTGTCTCAAACTCGAGTATGTTGTAGCCTGTAACCAGGGCTATCTTTCCCAATTTGAATCGTATCAAATGGTGGAGTAAATCTCGAGTTATGATTTTCGGCGCACTAGGGGGTATGCTGCCACAAGAACTTAACTCAATCACAAATTGTTCTCACAAGTTCACAAGAGTTGCACACACAAGAGTTAGAGCACCAATTAACCAGGTAGGAGGGAAGAGGAGGACGAGAGGGAAGGTCCCAAGGGAGTCCCCAACCAAGGAAACCCCATGCCACACAAATCCCCTCTCCATAGGCAACCCCACTTTCACATTTGTCACTTTCCCAACTCATGCCATCCACCTCAACCCACTTGGCCACACTTGCCAACCTGGTTTGGCTTCACCCAACCACATGGCAGCAATCTACAGTGATGGGTTCGAATTCCCAACCCCCAAAAGTCTGTACCCCATATAGAATCAGCCCCACAACTTCCCATAGTCGCCGCAACCAAAGTACAGAAAGCATACGAACTCCAACGTTCGTAACTTTCTTGATATTGCTCCGATCGCGACGATTCTTGGTTCGTCGGGAAGCTCTTGAGCAGAGCAATCACTTCAGATATCTGCTCATGCCAAATGACATTCACACACACTCAGAAAATCCAAACCGCACAAAACACAAACTCTTGCACACGCTCACACAACGCATGCAACGCACGAACATATGATGGGAGGCAGACAGACGTGATTGCGAATGATAGCATCACACAACAAACTCCCCCTCTGGCTGCCAACCATCATCCCACATGCCATAGCTCAAGCATGCACCCTCAATGCACACTCATTCCAGCAAGCTTCATTCACATCCAACACTCATCCCAATGGATAGTCATCTCCTTCCCACATCCCACTTGCAACATCTCCATTTTATTTCTCAAATCTGCAGCACCCTTTGCAGCCTTTGTCTCATGGCGTTAAGCTCCACACCATCGCAATATAGCCCCACAGCAATAGGCTATCTCATCCCCACAAATCTTTTCATCCCCACTGCACCACCTCCAAAGAGGCACACATAGCCTCCAATGCTGGTGCCATCCGCCTTCACAGAGTTGAAGCTGGCGTCGGTGTAGCAAGTCAAGCGCATCTCCCCCTTGCCCAAATCAGCAGCACCCCGCTGCTGCCTTTGCCTCACGGCACTGTACTCCAAGCCCACAGATGCCGTTGCACTCACATAGCGAACCAACCTCTTGGCCGCTTCCAGCTGCTCATGACTGGGACGTGAAACCACACTTGCAAGCCTGGATGTAGCAAACGCAATGTCAGGCCGCGTGTGGTTAGCCGCATAGTTGAGTGCCCCAACCATTGAATGAAACAGCTTCCTGTCACTCTCTCCCACCACCTCCTCATCAGCACAGGGCTCCACAGTGAACCCCGAAGGCAGTGGGGTGGCTGGCTTCCCTCCATCTTGCAGCCCATACTTCTCGGCCAGCCCCTCACAGTACTTCCTCTGGTGCAACCTCAACACTCCCTTGTCAAGGTCCCTCTCCACATACATTCCCAGGTAATACTTCACATCTCCCATCTTCGAGCACTTGAACTGCATCTCCAGCATCTCCTCCACACGCTCAATCATCGCAGATGACTTGGAGAAAAGGAGGATGTCGTCCACGTACACCAGGAGCATGAGGAACTGCTCCTTCTCTTGCAGCAGGAACAGGCTGTGGTCGCACTCACTCTTCTTGAAC